GAGATGCCCTCAGGAACCCCGCCTGGGGGTGACTGGGAAAGGAGAGAGGGTTTGCAAAAGTTTTCTGAGTCCCTTAAAGAAAGATACTGGAATCTATACTTTCTTTTCCAGTATCATTATTGCTTGGCCCCAGGGCAATATTTAAACACTTTCAAAGAAAAGACTATGAGAGGTCAAAATGTATCTGCTCAAACATTTATTGAACCATTGTCAACAGCCCTGTCCTCCTCCCAGGGAGAGTCAAGGCTTTGGGCGACCCATAGCACTTCTCGGGAAAAGTCCTAAAATGTGAAGGATCTTGAAAAGAACTGTCAGTATGGAGAAGGCTGTGCACCAAGTTCTCATGTCCACCAAGGCCAGAGAGAGAACAGCTGAAATGACAGCTGGGGGATGACACCCTCTGACCAAAAGAACGCAGCCCCCAAAACAGGTGACCAAAGGAGGCTGGGACGGCACCCCCATCCCACATGTCTTTAAGAACTAGAAAGACCACCACTGGGATAAGTGTATGTACTTGTTTCTGCTTGGATACAGGGGGATGGACTAAATGGGAGGATTCCAGGAGCTGGTGCAACCAGCCACAGGAGGCTTTTTCTCCTTGAAGAAGCAATTCCTGGGAGCCCAGCTCTACAGTGCTCCTGAGGACACCTGCTGGCTCTCCAGGCCAGGCTGGGGCAGCCCACTGGAGGAGATACTTGTCTTTCCTCCACACACTGGTCAGCAGCCAGCCCCTCAGCCTCCTCTGCTCACCTTATCTGATTATAATCTTCATTGGGGAAGGGGTTTGGCCATGCACCCCCAAAGAGCCCCCAGGCTTTCAATGGCAACCATCTCCTGCCCTCTTGCCAGCAAGCGGTGGTCAACTACGTTCTGAGTGTTAGAATGCTGGGTGATGCCCGGAAAGGTTGTGAAGTGTCTCAAGTCCCTCAGGAAGACAGGCCCTACAGCCCTCTGTACCTGGTCAGCCCTCCTTCTGCCCCACGGCCTGAGCCTAGATAACAGAGTCCTGGCTTTCTGTTTCCACAGCAACCCCCAAGCCATCATGCCCCTCCCTGCCTCATCACCCGGGCCTGACTTATCCCAGAATCAGGAAAAGTCGGTGTCCCCAAGACCATCACTCAGTTAAATCCCCAAAATGCCACATGCCACCTGCAAGGCACATCAGCCTGTTGATGAATCGTCACAGCAAGTTTTG